AGCCACCTTCGAAGTGCCAGCTCTGCATCCCGGCTCGATTCATTTTTGGGCCTGAGGCTTCAGATGTGCACACTCATTCACTCACTCACTCACTCACTCACTCACTCACTCACTCACTCAGTCACTCACTCACTCAGTCACTCACTCACTCACTCACTCACTCACTCACTCACTCACTCTTTCACTCACTCACTCTTTCACTCACTCACTCTTTCACTCACTCTCTCTTTCACTCACTCTCTCTTTCACTCACTCTCTCTTTCACTCACTCTTTCACTCACTCACTCTTCCACTCACTTACTCTTTCATTCACTCTCTCTTTCAGTCACTCTCTCTTTCACTCACTCTCTCTTTCACGCACTCTCTCTTTCACTCACTCACTCCTTCAGTCACGCACTGTTTCACTCACTCACTCTTTCACTCACTCTCTCTTTCACTCACTCTTCCACTCGCTCATTCACTCATCCACTCACTCACTCACTCACTCACTCACTCACTCACTCACTCGCACCCGTGATCTCTGTAGGGGTGCGTTGAGACTTTGAGAGCCCTTGTCTGTGAAGGCACAGCGAGAGACCTCCAGGGCGGAGCTGCGCGAGTCTCTGGGCGCTGCAACTTCTGCGGTGTCCGCTCGTCTGAGCACACAGGCCCCAGCCCTGGAACGACGACACTGAGTCTACACTATACCGAGAAGATGGAGTTTGCAGTGATCCTCTGACATGTATCGTGTTTTGCATCGACTTTGCCAGGATCCTGCTCCGGAGGAGCTTCGCGAAGACGCGTGTCCTTTTTTCTTTAGGTGCCATGGCTTCGGCGCGGGAGAGCTTGGAAGAAAGGGTAAACAAGGAGGAAAATTGTACCCTTGAAGTATAACCAACTAATGTCTCGTCCTGTTGCCCCGGTGTCCCGGCTTCGAGAGGACGTGACGAGGCTGCGATCGGTGCTGGGCGAGGCAGGGCGCTCAGAGAGTCACGGATACAAAAGTTGCTAAATTTGTCTTTTCTTCTGAGCTTCTCCACGAGGCAAGAGCCAGCGCGAGCTTCAGTGATGCAGAGCTCGTGCAGGCGTGGGGTGGAAGGGAGCGTGAATGTGTTAGACAATTTAGACAGTAGTTAGCTTGACGAGGCTAGCTAGCCACAGGCTGTAGGGACAACCGACCTGGTAGCGATTAGACCCCGTGTCGGGACAGGCGGAACTGTCCGGAATCGGATGCGGGCTCTGCGATCTTTCAAGCTGTCACAAGATCTCTTTCAATTTCAGAGCCATTTTCAGCGCCCAGAGGCCCAGCGGTCCGGGCTAAGCTGCTAGCTCCCCAAAAAAGCAGCCTGTTCCAGGCCGAGCAGACGCTTTTCAAGGCCCGCCAAGCAATTGAGCGCTGTTCCGTTGCCTTTCTCACTGCAATTTTCATGTTCTGGCCTTTGAAGGCATCGCAGCTCCAGCAGGCCACGCTCCAGCAGGCCACGCCTTCTGTACACCCGTATGCTTGAAGTGAAACAGTATTGCCATGAACGATGCATGTGGCCTTTTCATGCCTTCACCCACCCGACTCCGACCGACAGCGCATGTCAACCTTTGGCAGCACGGCTCCGGGCGGCCCTTGGGAGCTTCTCCAGGAAAACCCAGGGCAAGTCCTCCAGGTAGAACTTGTCCCATACTCTGCACCGCTCTGTAAGCTTCTTGGAGGAAGCCGGCAGGTTCTATGACCATGTCTTCTGATGTCATCATAAGTTCTCATTCCTGATCGTCCTGGTCCAGAGCTGACTCCGAGGGCTTGAGTGATTCCACCGCCTGAAGAACTATCATCTTCATGCGCTCTGCGGCGCCCTTGCCCGCTTCCGCCGCTTGCTGGAGTTCGGCCTCCAACTTGACCACCCTCGCTGAATTGACGCTTTTGTTTCCAAAAGATTTCTTCTCTGATCTTGCGCGACCTTCTCCCACTGTTTCTGCCTGAGTTCTTTTTCGGCAGTTCGCCTGCGTATGCGAACATCGGCTTTCCTGGCGGCAGTTCTCACTGAACTGCCTGCGTGATGCCTCCAGGCCGGCGTTCCAGGGATTAAAAAATCTTTTGCGGGATCCCTCGGAGACCTTTGCCGCCAACTTGCACACCGTCGTACCTCGGCTGCTGGTTGTATTGCTGGTTGTACTGCGAGCGCAGGGTCGATGCCCAAGCACCACGCCAGTATGGATCGCCTCGTGTATCTTTCCATGACTGAGGGTCTGAATTGTTTTTGCCGCCCATTCCACGCCTATAAGTGGGTCTCGAATGGTGGCTCTCCAGCAATGACACGTCACAATGTCGCAGGGTCAGCCCGGCTGCACGGCGGTGTCGTATTCTCCGCCTGAGTTTGGCTCGATGAGCTCGTTGGCGTCTGTGCCAGCTTGGGCTTCCAGGAGGCTTCCCTATGGCGAATGCAGGAGCTAAGGCAAAAAGCGGACGTGCGGCGTTCCGCACGGTTGGGACCTGCAGCTATCCTTCCCACGGAAGGTTGTTCTCAGCCCTTATATACATATACACACACACACAAATACAAATTTTCCAAACATACACATGTGTTTGAACGCTTGTGCACATCTCGTTGCCTACTCCTGGCTTGCACTTCTGTGGGTTTTCGCGAAAGCATCAGATGCAGGTTGCCTCTCCGGCTGCGAGTCCGAAGCCAGCGCAGGTTTGGGACTTCGATGGTGTTGAAAGCATTCTGTTAGTGGCGCATTATTGTGCCGTCTTGCGTTGTATGCCGTTGCAGGCCTCCTCTCCTGCCAGGGTGTCCGGCACCCCACCGGCGGCCACACCTGTGTCTTCACCTGCCTCGCCCACTCCCCCAGCTGAGCAGATGGCTATGAAGGACAAGGCCGAAGCCGGAGCCACGGCGAGCCCGAGCCTTCAGCTTCCGCCGCTTCCGCCACAGCCTTTGGAGGTGTCGAAGCTGCTCCAGACTCTGCTTGCAGGCAAGGAAAGGGCTGCTGTGCTCTGCCGCAATCAGAAGACCTGAAGCTCGCCAGGAGGCAGCGCACCGGAGTCGCTTCGCAAGGCCGCGGAGGTCGCGGCTGCTGCAGGCCCCTCTTGGGCTGTTGCGTTGGGGTGGGTGTTCCGAACTGGATGTTTTGTGGCCATTCAGGACTCAAGAGAGTGCGTAGAGTTTGCAGCGTGTCTACAGCTCCAAGACATTGCAGTTCGTGAGTTGAGGGATGAGTTATGTTGAGTTCTTGATTACCTGGGGGCCATGGATGTTTTCACGACCCAGATCAGCTCTGATCAAGCCCATTCATCGCAAGAGCTGCCGTCCTGTCTCAGACATACACTTGGTGTTCCAGCCCAGGCCTTGCGCCCGAGATTTGTGCCTACGCACGATCGGCTGCAGAGTTGCCCGGCGCTGGAGTAAACTATTTCAGCTGAATAGTGAAAGACCCAAGATATGGCCAGTGCATGACTTGCTATGACATGTGAGATGTGGTGTCACAGGCCTCAAGGTCTTATGTATCTGCTTCGCTGGCCAATACCTCCGGACTTGTTTGACTGGGTGTTGAAATATGTTGTCATTGTAGAGTAGTTGCGAGAACAGCCGCCGCGCAGAATGGATGGTCTGCGCCTCTATCTTCGCCAGAAAGCGTGTAGCAGAGCATCATCTTGGTGTCATGACGACTACTCGAGGAGTCGGAGCATCGCGCATGAAAAGGCTGCTTGGGACCCAGATCTTCGGACGCTCGGAGTAACTCTTCGATCTAGACAGGCCTGGCAGGCAGGCAGGCGGCATGTGTAGTTCTTCCTGGGCAAAGGTCGCAGCATTGGCGTCTGGAAATCTTGATGCGATTCGTCAAGCGAAGATCGACGTCGAGCTGGCTGGGCTCCTTCCGGAGACCTCTTTTGTGAAAGCACGAGACCCTCTGCTTGAGGCTGGGGGTCCAAACTCCGATCTGCGGCAGCTCACACAGGCCTTGGAGATGCAGCGGGCTGCGCCCTGAGAGCCGGAAACCGATCAGCGTTGACCGGTTCTTCGACGCTTCCTCTCCAGGTCCCGGCCACGGCTCCCGCAACTGCTTCAGGCCTGGCCTGTGCGACATGGTTGCTCTAGGCCTAGAACCCAAAACCCTAGAACCCTGAACCCTAGAACCCTAAACCCTAAACCCTAAACCCTAGAACCCTAAATCCTAAAGCGGCCCTTGACCAAAAAAAACCCTAAACCCTAGCACTTCCGTTTTGGCTTGGTGGCGACAGGCTTCCATTCCCAGGTAGACGTGGAAGAGCTGCGACGGCGCGAGGAGCTCTGGCCCGAGGAGATGTGGTGTTATAGTAATATGTTTTCCTATCTCATAGATATGTTTATAAGATATTATTTTATATTTACATAGTATAAAAATATATTACAATGTCGTATAATATAGTTTAATATAGCATCATATAGTATCATATGGTATCATATAGTCTCATATAGTATCATATTAATAGCATAGTATAGTGTAGTATATTATTGTGTCTTATAGCGTCTGCTTACTAGCTGGCAAATAGCCGAATATGGGTATTCAATCCAAGCTTGCTGTTGGAGTCTCAGGCAGCTTCTACAGCGGCTTCGCCAGGCACATCCGATTTGGCAGGGTTCTTCATTTTCCAAAATATCAGGGAATCACCAACCTCAAAGGTTCGGAAAGAAGGCTTTTGCATGATGCAGGCCAAGAGGGATTGTCGACCCTCCTTGAATTCCCGGAGCCCAAATTCCAAAACCCTAAGCCCTAAGCCCGAACCCTGAACCTGAGCCCCCGTGGCAGTTCCAGGCACGAGGCCGCCACCTCGACGAGCTCCGGCGCGAGTCACGGCCCAAACCAATGACGACGATTGCTATCCCATGATGTGCAGCCAGGATGAGGATGAGGATGATGTTGTTGATGGTGATGATGATGATTGGAAGACTAATGGACCACGGCAGCACCTCCACTCACCAACGCCTTGCTTACTGTAACAGTCGCAGCTGCCACCCGAAAACTCAGCCAGAACCCGAGCCCAGGTCCAGCCCACCCAGCACCCGCCAAGCGGGATGGTCCGGCTTCAGTGCGCCTGTCGGAGCCTCAACTGTTTTCCATGCTCCACCTATGAACCTGCTGTAATGCCCACAAGTCTCATGTTTCCGGGTCGGGTCGCCGAAGGCACTGCCTCAATACCAGCCTGATTTGCGCAAGATCCAGCAGCCAAGGAGGCATCGGCAACTGCTTTACTAGTGCTTGTTCGTGAAGCCTACACTCTTCGACAGGCTCGCCGAGACACCGCTGGAAGAGGTCCGCTCCAGATCGTATCGAATAGTTCCATTGCTGTCTGCGGGCAAGTCCTGCAGTCCCGGTGCAGCTGGAGGGCTTGCAGCATGGATGCTCAGAGACCGTTCATGTCTTGCAGGCACGTCCGCGGCGGGAAATTCAGACAGAGCCAGACATCCGCAAGGTGTCGGCTCAGTGCTGTGCGGCTTCTGAGTCAAGAGTCTTTCAGACTTTTCAGGTTTGTTGATTGTTTTTCATCTTGATCTCCTCGACTGCCCAAACTAGGCCGGTAGGAAACCAAAGGTAAAGGAGCTTCGCAACCGCACTGCGCAACAGGTTGAGCTTTTAGCTTTACATCCCGAATGTGTGCAGTCTTTGCAGCATGAGCAATAAACTCCGATCATGCTGCTGCAAGGTGCCTCGACCCACGACAAACACCCGTGATTTAGCTTCAAGGCTCGGCGACACCGTCTCTTCAGGCTCTTGCCTGAGAAATTAGTGTCCAGGCCGGCGCCGCAAAGTGACGGAGCACTGCCCCACAGTTTCCATGGTGACCACGGCGTCCCTTGCTCGACATGTGATTTTTTTGGTAAGTTTGGGGTTAAGGTTCCGCTGAGCCCGAAACTTTGTAGGGGCCCGAGCCTCCCAGGAAAGGTGGCTGAATCCCTTCGGCATCGACCCTGTGAAGCAGGCCCGTCGCTGTGTTTTGAGACGCCCTTTTTGTCGCAGAGTCGCCTTCGATCTGCCTCCCGAGGCCTTCGATCCGATGGGCTTGCCACCTTCAGTGCCCGATCTGCAAGACGCGGTGATGGCGATGGCTTTTGGCCTGCTGGGACCACTGCAACTGATCCTCAGGACTACAAATCCATGTTAACGAACGCGCGACGCCTGATGCAGCTGGGGCCTCAGATGTTTCAATGTGCGCCAGTTGCAACCGTCGCGCCTCTCCGCAATGGTGCCGAGCTTCCGTTTCTGAGCACGATGAGTTATGTGATATTGGAAGAAGCATCCTTGAAACTGCTGCCGCATTCGTCGCCAGGGCGCCCGGTCGGCCCTTCGAGTCCCCAAGCTTCTGGCGAGCCGATGGGGTGCCCAGCACGCTGCACGTCTGAGTGCTCGGGCACAGCAAGAAGACGAGGGTTTCAAGTTTCAGGGCTCTGAAAAGCTTTTGAGTCACCGGGGTGGACGGGTTGCAGACCTTCAAGAGTCAAGCCTCGAGCTGCGAGGGTAAGGAAACATGACGGTCTCTGTCGCTCTTTTGTTTTGCGGGCCGCAGCAAGACGTGAGTAAATCATCTTTTGGTAAGGCAAGGCAAGGTTTGGCAGCTTATCGACGACTTTAGCTGCTGGCTGCCATCTTTAACGTAACACCTGTTGTCTGACACAGCGGTCAACGTTGGTTGGTCGTTCATGACATGCACAAAGGCTGCAGTCCTGTCCAGGCAAAGCACTGGACTGTCGTAGACCCGAGCGGCAATTCCTGTACAGCAACGGATGTCGAAGCCTGTTGTCTTCGCATGCCGCAAGACAAGCGAGAGTGGCATGTTGAGCAGCTATGTGCACACCGTGTGATGTTATGTGACTCTTGACGTGGCGGGCAGGATTGCTACCCTTACTCATGGTGGCGACTGGAGGTGTGACGTGTCATGCAAACCTGGGCAGGATGGGATGTATGCAAGGGCGACATATCCTCACGTAGACAGCCAGGGATGAATAGCACAGCCCTTCATCGCCTTTGCTGCCAGTCTCTGCCGGAATGGGCTGGTGGCCAGCTCGCTTTCATGGGCGCCGTTCCGTGGCAGTGCCCCCTCAGATTTGCAGCTGGCAGGTTTATGATCGAGGATGACTGTGGCGTGCTCGTAGCACACGAGGCATGTTGAATGTGGGTTTCCAGCTTCTGCGATGTCACAAGTGTTTTGGAAGGTTCTCAGCAAGATTGAGTTGATTTGTACACAGGTATAACGGATTCTGAGTGAGTCTGTGGTGCCTTGGTGGCTGAATGTAGCAGCTGTGGATGCAGGTACACCGAATACCCTTCTCTGTATGGCGGACCCTGTAACGTAAATCGAGGCCTGTCCGGTTGTGGCAAACTGGAGGTCAGGTTTTTGCAAGACATTCGCGCTTCTGTAAAGGGTGCTGCTGCAGGGTAGTGAGTAATATTCAAGCAATGCAGCGGCCCCGGCCTCCTCGATCTCAGCTTGTTCCCAACTTTGGCTTGGCAGATGCGTCCGTAAAACCTACGGATGCGACAATTTTCCTCTATGCCCACCGGGACAGCGAGAATTTCAGGCCGGATACTCGTCTTCCGTCTCAGCCACATAGCCTTCGATGTCCAAGTAATACCCTGCTCACCAGAACATCACTGAGTCTTTGTGCAAGAAAGAAAGATAGGAAGTGAGATGAAGTGAGTGAGTGAGTGACGTGGAGCTTGGGCTTGCAGCCAGTGGCGTTAGCTTCGTGGTCCCGGATTCCCGTGCGGCTCAGTGATGGGCTGCGGCTGCGGGAAGGGCAGCCCGACCGCCAAGACACGATGGTTTCATGACCTTGAGAAAGAACTGCCATCCCTCGAAGGCAAGGTCATGTGTATCACAGGCTGCACGACTGGAACGGGATTCGTTGCGGCAAGGGCCGCTGCCAAATAAAGGTGCGCATACCGTGAAAGCGAACACGCGAAGGCGGCCGAGGCATCTCTCTTGGAAGTCACCTCGAGCAGCAATGTGACCTCGGTGGCCTGTGATCTTCAAAGCTTCGACAGTGTTAGAGATGCAGCTGCAAAGCTCAAGTTGATGTTTGAAGAGAAGGGCATCGATATTCTTTGCAACACTGCTGGTGTCATGGCACTGGCCGATGAGGCCACCAAGGATAGCTATGACGTGCAGATGCAGACCAACCACCTGTCGCACTCTTTACTGACCAAAGAGCTCTATCCACTTCTTGAGAAGGCAGCGGGGCAGCGAGGAGATGCTCGGATCGTAAACCACTCCTCCGGCGCTCGGAAGTTTCCGAGCACACCGCTGGATGCCAAATACCTGGGCAAGAATGGGGGCAACTTGGGTGGCAACGGCAACTCGGTGTTTTTCGGCGGGGGCCGCTTTCAGAGGTATCATCAAAGCAAGCTGGCCAACGCAGTTTTCACCCTGGCCTTGGACGAGAGGCTGCGGGCCAAGAACTCCAAGGTGAAGGCACTTTGCGTGGCCCCAGGGGTGGCTCGCACCAACCTGGTGGCTACGGCCAGGGCGGACGAGTTCCAGGAAGATACCTTCATGATGCGCTTTGCGCAAACTGGAGAAGATGGAACCATGCCCCTTCTCAAGTGCTGTGTTGGAGAAGGCTTGCAATCTGGCGAGTTCTACGAGCCAGACTTCTGGGTAGCCATCCGAGGCAAACCGAAAAAGATTAAGATGGAGCCCGTCTGTATGAAACTGGAATCCAGACAGATTCTTTGGGAAGAAAGTGAGAAGGCTTGTGGCCCCTTCAACATCGAGTGACTTTTACGGTTAGGACTGATGTTTTTTGCGACTCCTCTTGAAGCTCGCACGTTTTGCTCAGATCCCGAGTAAGTTTGCTTTCACGGCTCTGCAGTGTTCATAGCATTCTCTGCGCTGCCACGGCAAAGCCTGGTGCAGGCGGTGGGGTCTGCTTCTGCAAGTAGCTGTGCTGTAGATCTGCTTTTGCAGTATCCGTCGCGCAACAGGAACCGTCACCGAATACAGGAGCGAAGCGAGAAGTTCCAGTGGTTGTCCTCTCGCATGGCTAATGTAGGACACTAAACCTCCCAAAACCCTGCACTCTAGACAATCCTGAAACCCTGGCCGGAACAAGTGTCGCAGCCAAACATAAAGGACTCGAGGTCCAACCCAACATGAAGTAACGTGCCTCGATGAAAACTGGATTATGTTCCGACTCACAGTAAATGAGGAAGGCATCTCCAAGCCGCATCTGCAAAGATGTCATGTGATGAGTCTTGTGTGCCGGAGCTGTTTGTAGGGTACAGCGAAGGGCAACACGCCCGAACCTACCTTGACCCCCACAACTTCGATCTGTAGCAGAGGGGGGTTGGAAGTAGAGTGACTTCGAAGCTCCGAGCAAGCCTGCACTCTAGCTACAGGCCCGCTCTGGAAGCAGCCTCCTCTTGGAGGCTCTGGGCTTCAACTTCGGGTAGAAGACCAGTCCTTGAGGAAGTATACAGTACTTGCTTGCAGGCGCACCGAGTTTCTGTATGAGGTCTGCCCTATACCCTAAACCCTGACCCCGTAAACCCCTAAACCCTAAACCTTACATCCCGAAACCCTCGTCTGAGCAGCGAGGTACTGCTGCGACCCTGGACAGTCGAAGCAGGGACCCTTCAGCTTCAGGCCCGGCGCCCGCGGTGTTCTCCGAGTCCGTCTCCATCAGATCTCCAGTTGCCCCGGCCCAGGTGTGACATGTGCCATGTGAGCACCCGGACTGCTGGTGACCTTCATGCACACGAGGCTCCCCTGTCTCTTTTTTCAGCTGGACCGAAATCTACTCCAAACTTTGCGAAGCCTCAACCCTAAGCCCTCAACCCTAAACCGCGCACCCTCAAACCTGAACCCTAAACCTAAACCCTAAACTCCAGACCTTAAACCCCAAACAGTATGGGGACCCTACCCCTAAACCCCAGATCGTAAAATCTACCGATCTGCGACTGGCTTTGAGGCCGGCAAGATCCACAAGAAGCGCGCCCACCTCGAGCGGCTCTGGCAGGCCAGGGTCCCCATACTGTTTAGGGTTTAGGGCTTAGGGGTTTGGGGTTTAGGGTGTAGGGTTTAGGGCTTAGGGGTTTGGGGTTTAGGGTTGAAGGCTTCTAGAACAAGATTATAATCATATTGTACGAAGACTACTAGTGACGAGTAGTGGCAATAAGACTACGGTAATGTTACTGGAGTATTGTTATAACATGACTTTAGTATTACTATGATAGTACGCTGATAATACGATGGCAGGACTATGATGTTACCACCTTAATATTTTGCACTAATAGTACTCGTAGTGCTATTCAGAACATGGGCGGGCAAGGTCCCGGTCTTAGAAGGGCCTCTTCTGCGAGGCGGCGCTGAAGGACGCGGTGGACCGGTCCATCTTGCAGGCGCGCGGAAGATGCGAGAGCTCTGCCTTCAAGTCGGGTCCAGGCGCTGAACACTGCACGACCGGTGGCCCCCACAAAAAAATTGAGAACTCTTAGGATTGAGGCAGGAGGTGAGCAGTTGCGAGGACGACCCATCACACAGCCAAGGTCACCTGCAACTTGCATCTGCTGCGATCTACACCGGACGCACAGGAAGAGGCTCGACATAGATAGCAGATTGCACGGGCTTGGCTGCGCGGACTTGCACCCTTCAGAAGGCAGCGGCAGGCCCCCATCCAGCGCTGGAGAGGCTATCTCGGGAGTTGTTTTCGCAGGAACGTGCCTTTACACGTTCATGTTTGTGACAAGATGTTCTAAGTAGCAAAGCTTCCATTGGAGTTGGTTTGCTGTTCACGCGGAAAGTCCAGTATGCGGAACTGTCCTGTCGCATGGTGATCCTAGTTTCCTCCAAGAACCCGCTTAAACGCTTCAGGTGCGAGTGGTGCTGCCCTCCTTTGACTGCTTTGGCAACGCTCCTGCCAAAAAGTCCGACGGAAGGAACGTGCGATGCTTGGAACCGCGACAGGCCCCAACAGAAGCACTGGCATGTCCCAAATGTGCGAGGTCTTCGAGAAAGAGCGATTCGCCAAACGGCATGTATTTTTGTGGACCTTCTTTTACGAAGCCTGAGAAAAACTCTCCACCCGAGTCGTGTCCAGATCCCAAAAAGTTTTTCGAGACACCCCCCGAAAGACTTGCGGTCGGATGAAGTCCTGCCTGATTTGGCGCCGTAGACTTCATGAACAGTGCGGACTGGCATAGCTAGTTGAGATTCGCAATTTTGGCCCAAATAGCTTGGAAACAGTATCCAGCCTCTGGGCACTCAGCAAAGCACGGTAACTCACGGAAACCAAGCCTTCGATGAACGCTGCATCGTCGTCCTACGGGACCGTTTACGTACGTCCAAATCTCGCCACGCTCCTTCAATCGCACTGACTCGCGAGCTGCTCGGCAGCCCGCTGGCTGGGCCTCATGGACCCTCGGGGCTTGCAACCACAGGCTTTCATGGTTTCTGACGAAGCGGATGGGATGCTCTCTGAAATTCTCAGCTGCTCTGAGCTGAGATCATATTGTAAGAAGACTGGAATGGTACTAGAAGGCGGTATTACCGTGGTATTACAAACTTGCAGGAGGATGGGCGGACGGCACTCTTGCAGCCGAGCGGCTTTGGCGGTGTGATGGAAGAGTTTCGAGGCTGCACAGTCAGCCGGGCGCAATGCTGTTCTAATGCGAGAGGTAAGACGAAAGTAACCATACTATGAATACCGAGTATTGTAGGTAATAATACAGTTTTCCTATAGTAATATCATAGGCAATGCTGTAGTTTGTTTATTTTTATGACTGCGAGGCCCGTAGACTTAAAGCTCGACGAGCTCCAAAGCGACAAAGGAGAAGGAGTGTTGCCGAGAGTAGGATGGATACGTAGAGTCAGCTTAGAATTTAAAACTGTTTAAGATATATCTAGATTATCTACAATCTAGAATAACATGAGACTCAACTTGACTAATACTAAGATATAACTACAATCTTGTCTAAACCCTAAACCCGTAAGGCCCTTGAAGACCCAGCTAAGGTATGCCTCTGAGTTCATGCGCCTGCGCGCAGATGCCATGGCCCGGCTCCAGTCTCTGAAGGCTTGCGGCGACTTTGGGGGGCTTAAGAATGACTAATAACAAATAATAATAAGAATAAGAATAGTAACAATGAGAGTATTAGCCAAAGTAAGAGTACTCTACGATTACCATCATGCTACTATACTGGCATTATAGTAATACCTACAATGTACCTATAATTTGTTACGACAATGCTTCTATAGTTGACTGTGATTCTATTGTCGCTGTTTTTATGTTCACCGCGGCCTGACTTGTTATAGGGTTATCGGGTTTAGGGTTATAGGGTTATAGGGTTATAGGGTTATAGGGTTTAGGGTTATAGGGTCATAGGGTTTAGGGTTTAGGAGTTTAGGGAACACGGCATCTCACCATGCAGAGGAGTCCCCGAGCCCGGGCAAGACGAAGTCCTTGGAGAAGGCCATCGAGTCTTGCCCGAATTGGGGGTTTGGGTTTAGGGTTTAGGGTTTAGGAGTTTAGGGTTTAGGGTTTAGGAGTTTAGGGTTTAAGGTTTAGGAGTTTAGGAGTTTAGGGTTTAGGGTTTAGGGTTTAGGAGTTGGGGTTTAGGATTAGGGCTTCGGGTTTCGGGATCAAAGAGACTCGGCATCCTTAGGGTGTGAGAGGAGCTGACCAGTGACTGTATTTTTTGCGGATCTGAGGATGACATGGAATCCAACTGGCGGCAGATTCAGGTGGAGCATTTCGGTTTTGGCACCGTTTCTCACCTCTTGTTTGTTTAACCATCCCACCCAGCAGAGATCTAAACACGAGCCCCCTTTCTCAGACACCCTCTTCGCTCTCGGAGTTCACGTCGAACGTTTCCTCAACATCCGAGCAGTTACACACACCGAGGGGTCATCAGGTACAGCTCCGACTTGGCCTCTCGGGCGCGGGCTCCTCGCGAGAATGGGAGCCTCGAGCCACGGGCCTGCAGCGGAATCGCAGAAGTTTGAAGTCTTCTGTCGGGTGTGTAACCTTATGATTTTACAATGCTAGGGCTAATTTCGAGGGCGACTTTGGAGCTTTGGCTGATACTGCGACGCTTGCTGGTGGAGAACCCCCTGCACAGCGCTCACGGGACGCTTTGCTTCTGCCAGACCAGCAGCAGCTCGAAAACAGTAGCACCAGTTGAGCTTGAGCGACCCAGGTAAAGGAATGGGGCAACGAGGTGCCTTGGTAAAGATTGGGAGTGCGAGTGGAAGCAAGAGCACTCCAAGAGCACGGACTGACAGACTGACACTTTGGAGGCATCAGGTTCGAGAGAGCAAGGCCACTCTGCTGGGCTGCGGGCACTCCGCACCTTCAGGTGAAATTGATGCGGAAGGAGTTGGATTCCGTCCAAGAGGAGTTCAACAGGAGGTGCTGCATCAGCCTATGAGATATGGGAGTTTCAGGACATGAGAGCTGTGAAACCCGCAGTAAGCCCCGCACGGAGTCTTCGGCTCACGAGCAGAGACATCGCATTTCCCCGCAGCATTTTCTCCCATCGCCATGCTGAGCTCCAAGCTTCTTGCTGGTCCGACCGCCGGCTCGCCGGTGGCTCCGGGCGACAGCGTGCGCTGGGTCCTCGCGAACGACGGCACCGTGCCCTGGCCGGCGGGCACCAGCCTGCGTCTGGTGGGTGGCCCGGTGCTGGCGAGCCCGATCCTGGAGGTGCCCTCGGCTTCTCCCAACCAGACACTGGAGCTGGATTTGGAGGTCAAGAACGATTCGGAGCAGGTCATGGAGGCAAACTACTGTCTGGTAACACCGTGCGGCCAGCCCTTCGGAGAGCTCATGTCCTTCAGTGTGGGCAAGAAGGAGACTCCTCCACCGCTTTGTGGCATCATGGTGGCTCCAAATGGAAGCATGGAGGCACTTCAGGGAGAGGTGAAGACCTTGACCTGGACTCTGGCCAACATCGGGACCACCAACTGGCCCGCAGACACTTGCTGCCGCCTCTTCTACAACACGCCGGGATTCGACTTCCTTCCAGCTGACATCCCGATTCCAGAAGGAGTTGCTCCAAACTTGACCATCGACGTTGAGATCCAGGCGTTGATGCCCGAGAAGGAGGGCTGCTTCCGTGCGATGTGGGCCGTCACCAGCCCCTCGCACCCGGACTTTGGGGAGGTGCTCATGGCCGAGTTCCATGTGAGCGACTTCCCTTTCATGGACTGGATGGTCGAGGAGGCGGAGAGCTTCACCCTGGTCTCAGAGCCGGAGCAGGAGGTTCCCCAGGCTTCCTCCTCGACTTCTCCAACTGCCTCCATGTCCGCGGCCCACCTGATGCACGAGCATTTGGTGGGAGATGCCGAGGTGACCTACCCGAAGCACTTGGAGAGCCTTTGCTCTCAGACCGAGGGCCCAAGCTTTGTCTCCTTGGGCCACGTGTCCCTGAAGAAGGGCCCTTGGGTGGTGCAGCTCCTGGTCCAAAACGAGGGCACCCTTTGCTGGCCCGAGGACTGCTGCCTCAAGTGCTGCCTGGGCTCCGGCTTCGGCTGCGCCTCCTTGCCGCTGGGCCGCGTCGAGGCCGGCGAGGTGATCCAGATCAGCATGGAGCTGGAGGCGACCACGGGCCGCTCTGCTTGGGTTCTTGGCAATGGTGATGAATGCTTCGGCCCAGTTTTCGTGGTCGAAGCAACAGAAGACTGACATGCTTGCGACAAGTGTCGCAAGCATGTGATGCGTGGGAATCAGCTTTCCTTCTGCTGCTGTCTGTAGGTTGAAACCTTGTATGGGCCCCCTAGCTGTGATCTTCGAGACTTCGAGTGTTGGCTGTTGCCAACAACACTGCAGCAGAGTGCATGGTTCTCCCACGTTTGTACACGTTCACCGCCTGCCCACTGTGCCGTGGTGTTGCTGTGCTGAAGGATAATGAGCGATTAGGCTATAAGGTGGACTGCGCAGTTGATGTGGCCAGTGGAGCAGGTGCGAATGACAGGCTTCGTGCTCTGTGACGTTGTAATCTGTAAGTGGTATCCTAGATGAGAAGAGGGGAAAAGATGGCGACGAAGCCCTAGTCACCCAGACTCTGCCAGACGTTCAGGCAGAATGAAAAAGGCCGATATTGCGAGCAACTCTGCGTGGGCCGGCCCTTGCAATAAGAGACCCCCCCCCCCACAGCAAAACCCGAGCCAGGTCCCTGAATCTCGGCTCCACTGCCGGTGGCTTCGAGCGCGCCGGAGCACTGCAGGCCACGGAGCTCATGGACAGGCGCGGGATGGCGCGGGTGTGCAGAGATGTCGGAAATGATGAACCTAATACCTCCAACCTGAAATAGCTTCGGGCTTTAGGCCATCTTCGGTCTCTCCAGTGAAATGGTGTTGTTGTGTGGATCCTGGATGCTCGTTAATGGTCAAGATGGGGGATCATCCAGGGACATGGTCTCTGAGAAGCAATGAGCTCTCAAACGATGTGGACATTTGAAGGCAAACGCTATGTGTAGGCGTGGCTTTGACTAGTGCTGGTGGGATGCCATCATACCAGTAGCGGGTAGCAGCAGTAGCGGGTTCGGATCCACAGTGCAGAACAGGCCATTGCGATCCAACCGCAGATACCTTTACATACTGGGCGCCATTCGCGGCATTTGCTTGCTCTAGCAGTGTGCCTTGCAAAAGGAGCTCTGCGAAACTGGCGGACGCCAAACGCGTGGCCTTGGAAACCGAGGAGGCTGCTGAGTGTTTGAGAGGTGCAGGGGTTTCTGGTGTTGGAGGGATTGAAAGCTTCGTGATGTATTAGAGGGCACCGGACGTGTCAACATTGGGTAGAGGAATTGCATGTGTTCAGGCCGAGAAAAGGATCAGAACTGGGGAGCGGCAACGCTATCGGTTGTTCACAGGCGCTGCATGTGTTTGTGTCTTTATTCTGAGTCCTTGCAGAGACGTCGGTGTTTGTGTCAGCTAACGGAGTAGTTTCATGCACCGCGGTTTGCCTTAACTTGCTGTTGTTGGGACGGCCATGATATTGTTGATACTTCAAAACAGGCTGAATTTTGGGACAAGCATTCGCTCAGGACATCCACGCCCGTGTAATTTGAGACAGATGGGCGTTGTGGCTCAGCGTTCGTTGCGTCTGACTCAGTTCACCTCCCTGAGGTCAGCCAGGGTGTTCTGAATGACCTCTCCGCGCAGCGTGAGACCATCATGAGTGTACGTACCTTGGCCAGACGAGAGGAGAGTTGGTATCTTCGCTCTGCGGGCCACTGCAAGCCGTTTCCGAACCGAGGTTCAGGGAACAGGGAGTAAGTAGATTTCCGATCAATAATGGTGTACCTTACCATAACAATACTATAAACTATAAGGCTACTATAGCAATACCTATAAGAAACCTATAATGTTGCGAGCATATTCGACCGAACCTCCCGGCTTCAAGCCGAGAATCCGAGAAGCCCAAAGCCCCCCATGGCCGTAGACTGGGTTGCTGTTAAGGAACTCAGGGTAAGCTACCGTAATGGAGATTTAAAAGTACATAGTAGGGTTTCCATGTGGTATTTATTGTCTAACATACACCCAAACCTTATTCTAATTGATTATTCACAAAATACATGCACTAAAAATAGTAGTAGCCCTATTATAGAACCCTATCGTACCCTCTAAGAGAAGCCTATTATGGAACCCTACAATACCCTTTAGAGGGACCTTACCCCGTTAATGACAGCAACCCAGTACAGGTAAACCCTAAACCCTAAACCTAAACCCCAAACCCTACGCCCTAAACCCTAAACCCTAAACCCCAAACCCTAAACCCTAAACCCTAAACCAGACGGAAAAAGGTGCTTAAACAAAAACCCTAAACCCTAAACCCCAAACAGCAGCCCAGTACAGGCGGCAATGTGCGGACCATCGACTCAGAGTTGACCTCGGCCCGGCGCTCCTTGGACCGGTGCCTGGGCTGGTGCTTGGGGTTCAGGGCATAGGGATCCGTAAGGGTTCTGTTGGGGTTTAGGGATCTGTAAGGGCTATCTATAGGGCTTAGGGATTTATAGGGGGTTTTCTATGGGGCTTAGGATCTATAGGGGGTTTTCTATGGGGATTAGGGATCTACAGTTTCTATAGGGTTTAGGGATCCGTAAGGGTTCTTTTGGGGTTTAGGGATCTATAAGGGTTATCTAGAGGGTTTGGGGATGTATAAGAGTTTCTACAGGGTTTAGGGTTTAGGGATCTATAAGGGTTTCTATAGGGCTTAGGGATCTATAAGGGTTCTTTTGGGGTTTAGGGATCTATAAGGGGTTTCTATAGGGTTTAGGGATAACTCTCATATAGGGTTTAGGGCTTAGGGATCTATAAGGGTTTTCTATGGGGCTAAGGGATCTGTAGGGTTTTCTATAGGGTTTAGGGATCTATGAGGGTTATCTATATGGTTTAGGGATCTATAAGAGTTTCTGCAGGGTTTGGCGTTTAGGGATCTATAAGGGTTATCTATAGGGTTTGTATAAGGGTACTGTAAGGGTTCTACATGGGTGGTTCTCTAAGTTAGGGTTCCCATTCAGGTCCGCAAAATAGTACGGCACAATTACAAAAAGGACCCGAAAAGGGATCCTCATGTAGAGAACTGCCGGATGTTCGGAGTACGATCCACGGTTAGTGGAGTGATCTGACATCCTGAAGACCGACCAGGCATTCCAGTCAAGCGGGGGACTCTCATGCCGTGAAACTGTCTGTCATTTTCGATTGCTTTGGCATACTTCGTTTTTGTTTTAACGTGTTGCTAGGTGTCCTTCTCAACCCTCAAATGCAGCTCGAGACACCCTCTTTCCCCGCCGCAGTGCCAGGATTTAAAAGGGAACTTTGAGCAAATGTGCAGAGGTTATATACGAGGAGACATTCAACAGGCTCTTCCAGCAAGAATGCAGAGATGTCAAGCAAAACATGCAATCCGGCAAAAAGCGAGAGATCTATAAGTTTGCGTTGCATGTGACAAAGTCTTGAATGCTAGACTAGCCGCTAGCCAAACAGACAAAAGGGTTTTGGAGCAAGCACGGAGTGGAGAAGCCTCTGCCAGCCAGAAGAGGCGAAAGAGGGATGTCAGTAAATATGCAGTTGCAGCTTGAATACATACATGAGCAGAAGTTAATGTAAGAGCACGCGGCTATACTTGGGCGATTGGAACGCATGGGACAGGTTTCTGAGAGATTTGGATCTCTATCTTGCCATGTTGGTGTTCGACAGCCTAGGTTCACGATACCGCCTGTGGCATCCATCCTCAGTCGAAGCTCACCCTAAACCCTAAACCCTTAACCCTAAACCCTAAACCCTCAACCCTTAAAACCCTAAACCCTCAACCCTAAACCCTAAATCCCAAACCCAAAACCCAAAACCCAAAACCTCCAAAAGGTTTGAACATCAGCCTTGCACGCCGGCCCAGGATGATCTCCCTGGCGCAGAGGAACAGGATGGCGACGCCGCCTGGATCATTTTAATATATTGTAATACAAGATAACATAGTATAGTATAGTATAGTATAGTATAGTATAATATAGTATAGTATAGTATCGTATAGAATAGAATAGTATAATATAAAACTTTCCTGGGCTTTGCGTCCGATTGCGTCCGCTTCCTGGGAAGGGCCCACTGCAGCACCTCGAAGACTTGATCTCCGACTGTGACACTGTTCTCTGACCAATCGCAGTCGAGCACAGACTAGGGGGCATCCGGTTTCATAACGAAGCTCAACCCCGAACGGCTCCCAGGATCCCCAAACACCAAGGCTGCACAAGTTGAACTCACTGGGGGAGCATTCGATCCATCTCGATCCTAAGCTTCTCCGAATGGTCTGCTCATGAATACTCGGTACGTGTCTATTGGGCATAAACTGTAGGAAAGACGTTGTACAACGTCTTTCAATCTGCCGCACAGTGCCGGTCGCTCATCTTGTTGCTTTCGGGCATCTCATGTAGCGGAGGCTTTCGCACTCGCGGAGCCCCGCAACTTAGGACCGACGATGTAGAGACCATCGCACCATTCTTGAGGACCAAGCATCGTAGGCACAATTGTCATATTGCGACTGCTATTGCTATGTACGGTCACTGTCATTGCTATTCTTTGTCTGTCATGGCCTTGCTTTTAGAAGAAGCGTATGATCTGAAACAGCAACAGCCTTGGAACCCTAAAACCTAAACCCTAAACCCTAAACCCCCTAAACCGTAAACCCTAAACCCTACCCCGCTAAACCCTAAACCCTAAACCCCAAACCTCAGGATTGTCATTGCCACCATCTTTGCCCTGGGCCTCTCCTTCTGGGCTCTCTGTGCTCTCGGCCTGCCTCAGAGCTGCGTCATGATGTGGGTAGTTCTCTAATTTTGGGTGCCTTGTCGTGTCCTTCTGTTAAGGGTGCCGTACTACTTTTGGGACCTATCTGATGTGGGCTCCAGGGTGCAGGGAGTTGAGGGGCTTCATTGTGGTCAAAAATCATGATGTTGTAGCAGTAGCAGTAGCAGTAGCAGTAGCAGTCGTGGTGGTGGTAGTAGTAGTAGTAGCAGCAGCAGTAGTAGTAGTAGTAGTAGCAGCAGTAGTCGTAGTGGTAGTGGTGGTGATAGTGGTAGTGGTAGTGGT